GTCGTTCATCCGGAGTCAATCGGACAGACTCATTCGGGCACTTCGTCCAATCTTCATGACCACGACGCGGCCGATCGGGCAGTAACCACCGACGGNCACAGTTATTGTCAGTTATTGTCAGTTTAGAGCATCAATGAGGCCGGAGCCTGCTCTGACCGGACGAAGTGATGCTTCACTTATGCAGGTCGATGGTGAATCAGCGGTGAACAGCTGCGAAGGAACCGGGACTTGGATCCATCGCGCCCTCGCTATTAAGTTCATTGGACCGGGGAGTCAGAAGACCCGGTCTTAACTCATCTGTCGGCTGCAAGGAGTTGTATGTTTGTTTTAAGTATTTCGCCGGCTATAAAGCCGGCGATAATAATATGAAAGTAGTGATGGTCATTCTGCCAGGTGACCGCGGAGGCGGGTGCTCGGCACCGCACGCCAACCGCTACAACGGCATTTCTTGCCGTGTTGCCGCCCCCAAGATACCACACGACAGCAATAGTGCAGCGTGCTAGGCCAGCGGGCGGCTATTTACGTATTTGCTCCTTTAAAATTTATAGAGCTGACTGCTGAACCCAACACAGCCAGCCCGTGTCCCACCGACGGAACAGCGGGAGATTGCAATTCGGCTAAGTATCAACCGTAACATTGATACTTCGAGCTAGATCACTAGGCATTCTGTAGAATCCTCATCCGCGGCATAAATTCGCTAACGAGCGAACGCAATCGCGGGTCGAAAAAGCTCGACTCGCTTCGCACACACATTTTTGGTCCTTCGAGCCGGATTCCGCGACATATTCTGGTCCCTCGAGCCGGATAAGTGCGAAAGAGAAGGTAATAAAAGATGGCGTATCGTAATAGATTTCTAGGCACTTAATGAAAAGTTTATTTCGGACGCTTACCCTCTACCAAGCATTTTAGAAATATTGGATCAGCTGGGAAGCGCTAAATACTTGAGTGTATTTGACTTAGCTAGTGACTTTCACCAGATTGGGATGCACTCGGCAGAAGCACAAAAAACAGCGTTCTCAACACTATATGGTCATTACGAATTCGAAAATATGCCTTTCGGCTTAAGAAATGCGCCAGCCACCTTTCAACGATACCATATTATCCGATCTACAGGGCACAGAATTATTTGTCTACCTAGACGATATTGTCAGCTTATCCCATCATAAATTCAAATTCAATAAGCTGACTACACTATTAAAAAAGGATGCAACATTTATTTGGCAAGGAGCAGGGGAAAGCATTCTGCACTCTTCGCGAAATTCTGACAACGGAAAACCTTGCTCCAGTACCCAGACTTCTCGAAAGAATTTAATGTTACAACAGACACGTCGGGTTTCGCAATAGACGGTGTACTCAGTCTGGGTGAACGGGGAAAGATCGCCCGATCGCTTATGCTTCGAGACTTCTTCACGGCACGGAACTTCACAATTGAAAAGGAATATTTGGCGATTATTGATTGCACGCAGTACTTCCGACCGTACATCTACGAGTGCAGTAGATTTATATACCAGCGAGAAAATAGCTAAAGCACGTGACCCAACCGTGTCGCGTGCTAGAGTATCGAATAGTGGTAATACCCGTAAAATCCACCGAGTTGCATTCGACTTCCTACGAGAGAAGATTGTCCATCATCGCCGTGGTTTTGCCGACCAATCAAATTTCAATTTGTAAAAGAAAATCAGGAAAGAATTGCAGAAATAAACCGAATTAACATTGAAATTCAAAATTTAGAACCATTAAAAGTTAATAATGATACAATAATATATTATACCATGGCTTTAACAATGGTGGATAATAAAATCTGTAATGCAATGACAAAAACGACATCGGCAATGCGCTGTTACATCTACAACGCTACTTCGACGGAAATGAATAATTTAGAAATAATTCATTCTAAACCATGTAATATCAATAATTATTCATTTGGACTGTCTTCACTTCACGTATGGATCAGATGTTTCGAACGTCTTTACATATAAGCTACAATCTGCCATTTCAAAAATGGACAGCAAATACAGAAGATACAAGAAAGCTAAGACAGGAGAGGAAACAATATATTCAGCACCAATTCAAGGAAAGAATGGGATTACCAGACTATCAAGTGCTACCGCAGCCGATAGTAGATTACATCTCACATATCACAGACGTCATAACACACAAGATGGTAAAGAAATAAAATTAAATCTACCAGAAATAGCGGTTCCAAGAGAAAATTTTAGATATAATGAAACAGATATACAAAGCGGAACATTTGGACCGGTGAATGCACAGACGCATAACGTATATGAGTGTTACATTTCCTACCGACATCCCAACGTCTAAGGCAAGGGCCCGCTAGGATAGCCTTACTGAGCCTTACTTCCTCTAGCGGGTCCCGGACGAAACGTCTTCCCCTCTCCTTTAGTCCCAAACACAGCCACACACCACCACCACCAAAACTTTATTGACCAATATGGGTGGTACTGTATGCCAGCCTCTATCCATAAATTATTAATTCATGGAAAAGAAATTATAAAACATGTATTACTCCCAATTGGTCAATTATCAGAAGAGACTCAAGAAACAAGACAAAGATTTCAAAAAATTTAGAAGTAAGAATACAAGAAAAGTTTCCAGAATCGCTACAAATCAAGATGTGTTCCATAGATTATTATTGACATCGGATCTACATATTTCAACGATACGAATAAAATCCTACAAGAAGAAATGTAAACAATTTTAGTCCTGCAGCTGCTCGCCGGAGCCCCCGTCACGTTTCAAAGACTACTAGGTTGGCTAATCGAAGCCCGAGATGGAACCACACGCGTTCACCTATCTGGAAGACATCATTATCGTTACCAAGACATTCGAAGAACGTCTAGAATGGTTAGGACGCGTAATCGAGAAAATAAAATCGGCGGGTAAAATTTAACCCGGATAAATGTGAATTCTGTCTGGAGGAGGTTCGATACCTGGGCTTCGTGGTTAACTACGTGGGGTTGAAGGTAGACGCGAAAAAGATCGAATCCTGGGTATGGCGTCTTGATACAAGCGCTTCATTACGTGGTTCGCAGCGATTTCGGAATCCTTAAATCTATTGTTGCGTAACAGAAAATTCTGGGAGTAGGGGATCGAACAACAAATATCGTTCGAGACGCCTTCCTTTTGTTTTACAAACGGACACGAGTACCGTGGGTATCGGGATCGTGTTAACGCAGGAGATCGAGGGGGTAGAAAGAGTGATCGCGTTCACGAGTCGGTCGTTCTCGAAACCAGAGAGGAAATATTTCGTGACCAAGCTCGAATGTGTGGCCATCGTATGTGCGGTGCAGAAATTTAGACTGTATTTGAAGAGATACAGATTTACCGTACTGACGGACGACAATAGTTTGAGGTAGTTAAAAAACTTGCGCAATCCCTCAAGGAGACTCGCGCGTTGGGCATTACACCTACTCGAGTACGACTATTAGGTCGTGAATCGCCAAGGGGCATTGAACAAAGTGCCGGATGCCCTATTGTGAAAATACGAGGGGGAGATTGTAGGGGAGGAGGAGGAGATACCAATTGCCGTGACCGTTCGGATGATACGAGGGAAACATAGCCAAGGTGACGCGTGAACCGAAAAAACATAGAGAGTGGCTCGTTCGGGGCGAAAATCTGTATTACTGTCGAACCGACCGTTTGGGTACTAGGGGGCGATGGGGACGAGTGAAAACTGGTGATCCCGGAGGAGAAGAGACTAAATATATTGCGCGAAAGCCACGGTCGGGCTCAAGCAGGCCATTTGGGAATTGAGAAAACGTACTACCGAGTAGCGCCCCAGTGCTATTGGCCGGGAATGTTCTGTACTATCGTGTAATACCTAAGACGCTCTCCAACCTGTCAACTCACGAAAGTGGAACAAACACTGCCTTTTGGGTGCGCCCAAAACTGGCAAACAGACGAGGCGTCAATTCATTAAATTGCTGAAGTCAAGGTCATCACACGACAGTAGGTCGTTTAATTCATTTCTTTATCAGCAATAACCCTATCAAGTCAAAAAATAAGGGATTATTTAAAAAAGTCAAGGTGACCTTGAGTTTTAATTGAAAAACAATAGTTTTTGAAATTTGTTGCATTTCAATATGTAGCCGACTAAATACTAGATAACTTTTATTCGAAATATTTTTTTGCCAGACTGTCGAAAGTACAAGAAAAATCGTGGCGTCCGTTACCATGTATAACATCTTTACAATACAAACTTCAAATCGAAATATCTCAAAAACGGGGGCCTATTCTGAAGAACTACATTAGAGATTTTACTTTAGCGATGCCATCACGAGTGTTGATGCAATGCGATTTTTGCTCAATGCTCTGAATGTCAATGTGAAACAATTTAAAAAAAAAACATGGGTAAACGGCAGGAGTAATTATGACTCTCAAGGGAAGCGCGGTCGCTTGAGGTGTCGGAGCATTGTTAGCACATTGTTAGCTACCTTCTGGTATCCCCTTGTTCCCGCCGTGTGTATTGCCTCCACAGGCTCAATCCGCCCAACTGACACAGGTGATGATCGTAAAAAGGAAGAATGTTTTCTACGCTTCGAAGGTGTGGAATCGATATGGATGGAGTGTATTAAAACTCACTGGCCTTTGCGGATGACCTAATATTAATGGCAACAACACTGCAGGGCCTCCAGCTCACATTGGATAAGTGTACTAAATTCCTCAAGCAGTGTGAACTGATGATTGACGCCAATAAGACCTTTACTGTGACGATGAGAAGTATACTGCACGTCAAGAAGTCGGTGGTAGATCTCAATATAAGGATCCATGCTTGGGGGGGGGGGGGG